GGCCTTGTGTGCCATGCTCTCCAAGTCCTGGGCCAGCTCTTGCAGGCTCTCCCCTTTAGCACGGGCTCTCGTCCTGAACCTGGCCCTGTAGACTTCTGACTGGTTGTGGGTTTCATACCTGAGTTCGAGAGCCTCTACCAGTGTTCTATAGTTGTGTCTGTCCGCTGCTGTCAACTGTCCAAGTATTTCTAGTGGTTGTCCCTTCAAGCTCGTTGCCAGATATACAGCTTTCTGCTCCTCTGTCCATCCATTCATCTCTGCCAGTAACTCAAACTGTGCTCTATATGCTTCCCACGGTGCCTTCCCATCGAATTCTTGTGGCTTCCTTCGCACTGGATCACTCCTATTACTGACATTCATATCTGGGATGTGACTTCTAACGGGACTGAATATGTCTGCATTAGGGTTTAGCTGCGGACTCTGTAAGGGGCTTGCCATTGTCTGGGGCTGATTAAGTCGATGGTCAATGTATCCTCCTTATGTAACAGACAATGAATCGTTCTTTAACGTATCTAATTCACTTTTAAATTTACTAATGTTTTCCATTTGTACCTCTTGCCATTGTTGTTGATTTTCCTGTATTTGCTGCTGACTTTCTTCCTGTTTCCTTTCTTATTCCAGTTGCCACTGTTGTAGTCTCTCTTCTTGTTTATTTTCTTTCTCCTCCAACAACTGCTGTAATTTCTCTTCTTGTTTCTTTTCTCGTTCTTCTTCTTTATTTTCTTTTTCCTCCAACAACTGCTGTAATCTCTCTTCTTTATTTTGCTGTTCGAGCTGCCATTGTTGTAGGTTTTCTTGCCACTGCTGTAATTTTTCTTCTTGTTTCTTTTCTCGTTCTTCTTGTTTCTTTTCTTTTTCCTCTAACAACTGTTGTAATTTTTCTTCTCGTTCTTCTTGTTTCTTTTCTTTTTCCTCTAACAACTGTTGTAATTTTTCTTCTCGTTCTTCTTGTTTCTTTTCTTTTTCCTCCAACAACTGCTGTAACTTCTCTTCTTGTTTCTTTTCTTTTTCCTCCAACAACTGCTGTAATCTCTCTTCTTGTTTATTTTGTTGTTCGAGCTGCCACTCTTGCAGGTTTTCTTGCAACTGCTGTTGTCTCTCTTTTTGTTTATTTTCTTTTTCCTCTAACAACTGTTGTAATTTTTCATGTGGTATGTTGAATGCAGAACTGGTTCAAATTAGATGTTTATGATGTCAAAATACTAAGTCTACGGTTTCGTATGAATTAGAAACTCAAATTACCGATATTGACAGTCTAGAATAGAAAACAAGGTCTTATCTTTTCTATTTGCTAAGATATTGCTCATGTAATAAATCAAACACTCCCTTATATACACTTACTTCTATATATGACATGAATAACCAATTGTTACGTCTCCGTTTGTTAATTGATTTTCCGTAACTTCGTTCCGACGAAACTTTAACGACACAAGTCCTTACTTAATAAAACTGGTTTATTCTTTCCGAATATAACTTTACGATACATTTATTTTCAACAGTCGCTCTTTTACAAACGTTTTAACAAGGAACACGTATTGTTGAAGTTAACATCACTCTGACTGCAGTTCAATTACTCATTACCTACACACACATTACTGTCCCGTCACGTTGTCACCCTCTTTTATATACCAGACTACCCTATATCTAGTAAATACTAGAGCATTCGCCAAGGTACAGGATAGTTCTAGAAAATAGGTGGTGCCACACCAGTCACGTGACTCGCTGACGCAACAATATTAATAGTTTCAAAGCAATAGAGTCTTATAAGATGAAAAATAATTATTGTTACCATAACACTAATTTAATTAAATTAAAACTTTGATGCATTTGTACAGTTGACAAATCAGATAGCTGAAAAATTACAAATACAGATCCCAGTGGGAAATTTTGGATGAAGTATAACTTCAATACCGTTTTTTTTTATTCTGAGAAGTAGGGGCTGTTTTACTATGAAAGTATTTTTATATGAATGATTTAACATATGCAACATTATTGCACTGGAATTTTATAGAATGATCTTCTTTTTCAGAAATTTGTGTGCTGCCTAAAGCAGAAGGACCATGTCGTGAAAAGTTGACTCGTTGGTATTTTGATTTTATGACAGAACAATGCAAAGAGTTTACTTTCAGTGGTTGTCAGGGTAACAGAAATCAGTTCCTAAGTAGAAAACAGTGTGAAAACATCTGTACTATAACAAAAGTATCAGGTAACATATGATTAATAAATATAAATGTTTTATCATTAGTTATTTTCATATGTACAATTGTGAAAATATTTTGGAAAGCTATGAATAAAACAGGCACACAATACAAATATTACAAAACTACTCCCTCTTAATTGTAAAAAATGAACTACACAAGAGCAATATAAGTGTGAACAGCATCTGAGGGAAAGTGTTGGAGACATACACAAAACTGATGGCGTCATGGCTGTGTATTTATCATTTATCAGATCATTCCCTGAGTAAAAAACCTTTTGAGTTATGGTTTATCTTCCAGCAAGACAGCTATCTCAAACACGCAGCAAATGTGGTGAAACAATATCCAGAAGGAAGAGAAGGCTGATGGAATACTCACAACCATTGTCAAACTACAGCCAAACAACTTGATTGAATTGTAGGAAATAATATTTCACAATCATACATTGATAAACTTATGGAACCATAAAAACAAGGTGTTCTGCTCTATTTAAAGCAAATGAAAAATCATTGTGCATTGTGCAGTGTACTTCCTTTTCTTTTGTATTTTCTATAATAATGCATTATATTTATTATAAAGTATAAATGCATAATTGCTTTACTGTTTTAAGCAAAAATGTGTAATAGATGTTTTTATAGCATTTCCTCTTTTACAAGAGAATAAAGAAATTCTTTCTTAATTGTATTGAGAACTGCCTTTTGAAAACAAAATCTGTGAATATAGATATGTTGGAAAATGCGAAGACACTTCATTGTTTACTTTTCTTTTTTCAGTGTCCAAAGATATTTGCTCCTTATCCAAATCTGCAGGGCCTTGTGGAGCTTTCTTGATCCGCTGGTTCTTCAACTCCCAAACTGGACGCTGTGAACAGTTTTACTATGGTGGTTGTGAGGGAAATGCTAATAACTTTGAAAAGAGAAGAGACTGTGAGCTTGCTTGCCTAAATTTCAGTGGTAAATTTATAAATGCTGTTGTCTGATTGCCATGTAGAACTTACCAAAACTTTCACTTATGATTTATTTCCTTTCTTAATATTGCCATAATTTGTTGTATAATGCTAAAAATAAATACACTACTAGAAAATACTTTCTATTTTGGATTAATATAGTTAGTATTATTCTAATAAAATGTTGAGTGTTACACTAGGTTTAAACACTTTTAAATGCTTTACAAAGTGTTTTTGAATATTGATTATTTTGGAGATATAGGTAATTAAAGTAGGGATGATAAAATTTGTTGCAACTGTATATTATTTATGATAATCTAAGATTCTTATCAAATAATAAGAATGTTGTGTATTGGACCTATTGTCAGATAATAAGTTTTTTTTGCTATAAATAAAATATAACAATACAAGATCAAATCAAACTTTAATATCACTCAGTCATTATGGATGAAAATACTGATAACAGCAAGGTTACTCAGCTGATGAATCATTAAATTCTTTATAATTGTAGGACAAAAGAAAATTTAAGTGTTATATGAAAACAGTTCAGAGTTAACACTTCTGTGTAATATTACTGCTAGATTAATATGCTAAAAAATTAAAGCTTGGGAGCAGAATTCCTTAAGTGGAAATGGATTTACTGCTAAGTTAATGTAAAGGGATATTTAAACAATACATAATAATACAAAAGTCCTTTTAGCTCTATTCATGTGTAATTCTGGACAACTAAAAATGTCCGGATAATTTTCTGTGTTTAATAGATTGTACATTTCGTCGCAAGTATACCAAAATTACGTAATTGAATCTTTAGAAAAATAATCACAATTAATTATTATCAATTTTTACCTTCCATGTAAGGGCATCTTTAATGTAATTTTTAGATTTTCATTCCACTCAATTCCTTAGCAATTAAATCGGAATTAATTTAATCTTATTCAATTATTTTGTTTTGTAAAAGGGCATTACCTCACAACCAGATTGTAAGGTTTTGTACTTTTTAATTACTTTTTTCCAGGAAGAAATGAATGTATATTACCAAAAGACATTGGTAACTGCTATGAATTCAACGTTCGGTGGTTCTATGATTCAGAAGAAGGTGAATGCCGAAGATTTTATTATAGTGGTTGTGGAGGAAATGAAAACAACTTCAATTCCCTTTTGAAATGCCAGAAAAGATGTGGAAAGCCAGCATCTACAGAAATTTTATCTGAGGAATTCAGGACTGGTCAGTTAGTTACAATAGTCTTTTAAATATTGGTGATTAGCAAAATCGAGCATTTTAATCAGTTCAGCTACATTTCAGTTTAATGGTAGAGTTGGGAAATTCCCAAAATTGTAATTCTGATTCAATTACAGCAATATCCATGATTTTTAATTATGATACTAATTTAATTCTTAGAAAGAATTATAATTTCATATAAGTTACCATCATTAATATTTCAAAATTCCATATCACATTTTAAAGTTATGACAAAGGAGGAGTCTTAAGAGCTACAATATGTAAACAGTGGAACGTAGCCAAGACTTTTCTCATAGCTCAGTTGGCTTGCTACTAACATGTCTGTACTCCATTCTCAATATTACACAAATAAGATGAATGGTTGTTTTTTTTTTATGGGTGAAAATATCACATTCATACCTCATTTGAGGTATGGATTTGTTGGAAAATATGGTAATAGGGTAAGAATACTGGAACTAGGTAGAGATAATGAATAGAATGACTTAATAAATAACCACAATTTTAAATTACTGGAAAGTCAAATAAGAATCATGCTAAAAAATAAATAATCTGACAGTCTGAGTTCCCCACGTTTCTTTCAAATAGCAGGAATGGGAATCATCTTTTCCAACTGAACAATAGGTCACTATAGATTTTTTCTAGTCTTCCAAAATCTACATCAATAGTATTGACGATTATTAAATTGGAGTCCTCCTACCTTTATACTATAGAATACAGTATATCCTTGCACGTGAGAGAATGTATTTTCCTTGTTGTCTAGGATCTCTTCTTTTAGCAACACTTCTCATCACTATCAATTTTGGAGATTTACTCCAAATACTTAACTAACTATTGCACATTTTACCTTGGCTTAACCTCATCAATTTTTTTTGAAAATTACATCCTTAAAAAAGCAGTTGTTTCTTTCTCTCTCTCTGTCTCTCTTCCTCAGAGATTTGTTTCTTGAAAGAAGATAAAGGACCATGCACTGAGGTGAAGCTGAGATTTTTCTATGATAAAAATGATGGAGTGTGCAAGGAGTTTCGATATGGTGGTTGTCTAGGCAATGAAAATCGCTTTAGAACTAGATCCGAATGTGAAAATAAATGTGGAAACTCCCAGAGTAAGTTAAACATTTGAGGTACATGTCAATTGCATCATAAACATTGCTTTTTTTCTTAACAGTTCCTTCAAATGATAACACTTATGAATGACAAGTTTGTTTTTATGAACAACAAAAGTACTAGCCATTTAAGCACTGTTTGCTTTTCTGTTCTTAACAGATGCTTGCTTGCTTCCACAAATAAAAGGACCATGTCAAGGAACCTTCCCACAATGGTATTATGATCATAGGTCTGACCAATGCATTGAATTTATGTATGGTGGATGTGAAGGAAATTCTAATAGGTTTAATAGCCGAGAAAACTGTGAAGACAGTTGTAAGCAGAGTACTACGCCATTGACTATACCTACAACGCTTCCTGTGCAACCAGAAACCACAACAAAGGCTCTCTACAAAAAAATTGCCCGTGAGAAGATTTGTATCATCTTTTGCTTATACATTATTTCATTTATAGTAAGACAACATTTGAAAATTACAGATTGTTTGTGAATGTATCACAGTTAATGAATCTAAGAACTATCAAACAATCAAAATTACTTTTCTTTGAATGATAAAGCTTGAACAACAATATTTTAGCAAGTGACTACTCAGATACTACATGTACATAGTTTAATTATTCTCTTTGTTGAAGTATTGTTTATTTTCAGCTATTTGATGTACTGTAACTACCAGAATAACAATCTATTATTACTTCTTCTTGTATGTGCTAGAATAGTTGTTGTGTTCTTAGCAGTAATAAGATATAAATATATTCGTTTTTAAGCCAACTGAAATGTTGAAATGGATTATTCAGTCTATATATATGTATGTGTATAAATTTCCAGTCAATTTAACTTTACTTACATGTTTTTTTCTAACAGAATTATTTGTCACTATCTAGTAAATTGTATAGTATTAACATTTTTACTAAAATCACTTCTTAGATAGATATACATAACTTTTCTTCATCCCATTTATATGGATAAATGTGAAAGTTTCCAAGAATATAACTCATTACCCTTTTCAAGAATAACTTATGAGTAATATTGCTCTTCCCATGAACATAGCTATTCTAAACATAAAACAATATTATTGAGAACTTCTGCAAATGTAAATTATATTATTAAATGTGAAGAAGTATTGTGTATATATTTTATGTTACTCATCTATTACACATTTTGAAATGGTTACTTTATTCAAAATTTGACCAGGACAACTTACACCTAGTAGCTTGTTACACTGTATTTCTTCATTGACTTAGCTGAATTAATAAGAGTTAGTATTGATCAAAACAGTAATCATCAGCTCATCTAGCTTAATGTGATTACTTAATACAAACTTGTATGGTACCTTGAAATTCAGTCCAGTTATACTCCAGGCATTCACATATTTAAAATTGCTTCATAATTTTCTGCATAGTAATAGTTATCATTTTAATCCAGTTCCTACAGATGTCTGTGCTCAACCTCGTGATAAGGGACCTTGTAAAGCATTCTCTCCTCAGTGGTATTATGATTCTAGAAACAACATTTGCAAGAGATTCATCTATGGTGGCTGTGAAGGAAATAGGAATCGCTTTAAAGAAAGAAGTGATTGTGAACTTCGCTGTGTCAAAAAACCAACTGAAGGTAAAGTAGAAAGTTTTAAGTAAAGAATTATTTGCGACTACCTCCTGTATTTGTAATAATATTATTATGATGATATCTAATTTTTATGCATATTTAATAATGTTACTGTAAGTTTCTAGTTTAAATAAATTATTCTTGGCATGTGACATGTAGGCTTTTCTTGAAAATCATTTTAAAAATATCATTGTCCTATTTAATTTTCGTAAAATTTAATAAGTATATAAGTAAAATATGAATGCTTGTATGCTGCATTTTTTCATTTAATATGAAGTAAAAACGTTTCTCTCATTATGTGAATTAATTTATTAAAATAATTATATCATTGTAATAGTTTCTTTTGTTGAAAGTGTTCTTTTAAATTATTGAATAAAAAGATGAATATTAAATCCATTCCACTTAATAGTAACAAAAGCAACTTATTTCTTCAAATTTAAGTTCTACAAATTCTAGTCTCCATGGTTTTATGACTAAAAATAGGCCTAACTTCACAAATAAACAACCTAAACAGAAATTTCACTCACCTGCTTATTTTATGTGTCTTGTATTTTGGCACAAACACATTCATTGGACTAGCTGGCTGACAGTAACAGACAAACTGTTCAACAAACAAACAAAAATTCAGTGATCAATCATCAGCTACTCTGCTTAACTAGTGTTTTATTCTACTCATATTACTCTAAAACTTTGAAGACAATTTCAGACACTAGGCCACACTCTCATAAATTCTTTCTGGACAAACAACAATAAAAAAATCTAACTTAAAAATACAGCTAACACTACTGCCCCCCTCCTTGGATTGTGAAGTTCATTGAACAATTTTGTTACACAAAGAAAACAATCTGTACATTAACCTTAAACCTCCATAATTAACAATTAATTATTAGTAACATTAATATTATAAATATAAAATTACAATAATTAAATCATTAAAGTTCCCAAAATATTGAAACAAATTCATTAACAAACTTCCTTGCTAGAGTTTCCTAGTCTTCTGCCCATATGACAAAATTATCTATGTATTTGTTCCCACTGTTGCTCTGTGGTAGAGGACCAATCACATCAGCATCAACTTTCTTATATGGTGCTCCAACACAGTACTGATGTAGTGATCATATTGCTTTCTTTTTGAACTTCTTTTCTAACAGCACTTTTCACATGATTTATACCAATCCTTTACAGATTTCCATAATCCAACCACTAAAAATGTTCCCTTATTCCCTCAGAATCTCTCTCCTATTGGGTTCTCCTATTATATATTGCATAGTTAAGTTATTACCTCCATCACCAAAGGTGGACGGAGGTTATGTTTTCACCCCTGTGTGTGTATGTATTTGTCAGCAAGATTTCTCGAACGGCTGAATGGATTTGGATGAAAGGTGGTATACATTTGGACCACGACCAAACTTAGAAGTGATTAGTTTTTGGAGGGTCAAGGCCACAGCAAAGCCACGAAAATTCCAATAATCCCTATCTGTTAACATGGAGACTGATTTTTCACACTATTTTTGCTCTATAACTCAGTCAAAAATGATCGGATTTTGATGAAACTTGGTGGATATATGTAGAATATTATTCCTCATTGTCCTGCCAAAAATGGTCCATGTCTGATGATAACAACAGACATACAGACACATTTTCATCTTTTTCGAGAGCCAAATATGATCAGCATTGCATGGCAGAAGTATGCACTCTACTGCACATTGGGTCCTTTGATGTTTGAATCTTGGCTCCTAGTCACAGCTTTAATCCATCCACTTTGAATTTATAAAGAAAGAAAATGTAGTAGTAAAAAATATTATAATGATTTATAAAATAAAAGTAGAAAACACAGTGAAAAAAAGGTCTAATCTCTTTCTTCACTGGACAAAATATAGTTATTTGGGCACAAATTAATTTGGATATTCAGACATGCACTGTGTACAATATACTTCTATTGTACATTTCATGGTAGATTAAGTTTAAAGCACACATTATCAGAAATAAAAATATTCTGCATTTCATTACTACTTGTCTTATTTTAAAGATATATTGAGGAATAATGTACTTTATTTTTATACCATATCAGAAATTAAGGTTGATGAAGTAGCTGAAAAAGAACAAGAGGAAGTGTCTACAACTGTACTACCAGAGGGACCCACCTGTCCTCCAACAAACTGTGCTAAAATTCGATGTACATTTGGAATAGATGAATATCTTGATAAACAAGGCTGTACCCTATGCCGATGCTTTGACCCTTGTCAGGTAATAACTCCCTCACTGTAAATCCTTTTAAAAGGAGATTATATGGAGTGAAATTTGCACACTGACTGATCACTTTATTAGGGCCTCTATACAAACATACATTTGTATAACACTCAATTTATTTGCATGTGTGATATAGACTGCTTATTTCACATGATTGCTTGAGCCCTCTAAATCACTGTGTGATCAGTGTGCAAGGTAATAGATAAGAGCTAGAATCACTGACTTTTGAAGGGGCATAATAGTTGGTGCTCACCAAATGTGAGCTTTATTATCATGACCATTTCTTTGATGGTCTTTTGAAAGACATCTTACAACAACATTTTTCAGCTGTTGTTGCTGTTCAAAGGAAATGTGGCTTCCACTATGAGAAACTCTGCTGCTACCTACTGGTTAAAAATTGAGGGCAAAGACTATTTCAGAGGATTTTAAACACAACAGGGATCATACAGTGTCCTAATTAATTAATTTATTCAATATTGATCAAGACTTGACTACTTTCAGCTGTACGATAGATGCATATATGTGTATTTATTATGAAATGAAAGTCAACAAAGAAGTCATTTCTACCTTAGTAGCAGTTATAGATATTAAGCTAAAAGAAAATTAAATTTTATTAAACAACTTGCATTTGATAATATTCAAATGAAGATGTATTAAACTTATTGCAACATATTTCTTCTTACAGGTACATACTTGTGAGGAAGGAGAACGATGTGTTGTTAGAGTTTACTACAATGAGGATGAAGATCCCAAATCAGAAACTGTTTGCCGAAAAAGTATGGTTTGGATTACTATTATCACAAAAGTTTGTATTTGTTTATTACAAAGAATGAAGTAACTTCCTTACAATTAGACTCCATTAACTTAAGTAATATGAAACAATGTACTTGTGCACTTTATAATAAACTAAAAGAGATGAGCACAAAGTTGAAGAAAGTATTGCTCACTTAGGGCATCACAGAAAATATTTTGGGATACTCCCTTAATACGTTTCTTGTTCCATTAGTTCTGTTTTAAACTACCAAATACTCCAGCTTTACAATACAATTATGCTTTGCATTCAATCTTTAAGAGAAGCATATGGAAACAAAATTCACATATATGTTATGTATAACAAATATACTATTACCCATTTTTCTGTAATTTAATTTTTTTCTAGCTAGTTTGGTTTTCTTGGTAACCACCAGGTGTTTCAAAGTCAGCAATCACTGAGTACTTGTTGAATAAATGAGTAATATATTGTAACAGGTGGCTGGTAAGTGTAGTCATTGAGTTTGATTTCACACAAGTTACCAATAAGTATATTTAAATACAGGTTATGCAGTCACGGGTTAAGCACACAAACCACCAACTCAAGCAATTTGCATCTGAAATAAAAAACAGTCAGAAACAGTCGCATTACAAACACAAAATAATTTTTATTACAGTCTATTGATCAATTCCTTTGCATTAAAGTTTCCAAAGTTCTCTTGAAATAATCCAAAATCAAAACTACCAAACTCTTCGTTTTGGATAATCATATGTTTATTAATCAGAACTTCTACTATGTTCATTAACATGAACACTACATTGAACAGGTTATCTATTGAAGTAACATGAGAAATTCATTCAGTTATAGTTTCTCTTATAGGATTGTGATAGCAAATCTTCCAATATATCTCTTAGTAATTCTATAATATCTTTTACTAGCCTTACTAAATCATCAATACAATTAATATTTTTTCACTTTTCTCTCTCATCAGACATTAGACATTATTCAACTCAAAAACACCGTTAGACTAGATCAGAGATAGCATTACGTACAAAGAGTTGGTGCAATGAATCTCCTCAATGATTTGTAACACAGCCATGCTGACTTCTGGATGGTAGCAGGTCCACTAGTAGGTATAGATTGGCTGGAGCAAGATGTCTCCAGATTTGAAAACACAATGTTTTATACACATCTTTCTGTGTCATTACAATTTCTCAATAAGTGCAATGGATCTACTTTTCTCAAGTAGTTCTTTTAACTTATTTGGTAAAAGTGGATTCTTCCACCAAACCAAAACCATAACTAATTGTTGGTATACATGAAACTTTCTCTTAGTATTATTCATTGACAGTGGTGTAAACATCCAAGATTATTAACTCAGAAAGTATAGAGACAAACTGTTTAACTTTTGTCTTTTTACAGATACCCTTCCACTTTTCTTTCAATCTTGGATTCACTTCAAAGTCCCGTTAATTGTTTTTTATGGAGTTGCTTCCTGAAATTATGATTTCTAATATACACATTCATAGCTTTCTCTAATGGAATCATGTCTACTGGGTGATGGTAATCATAATTGTTGGTTTCATACTTCTTTGGTCAAGGTCTGGAATGTGTATCCAGCTAACTCATGTAAGGTGTTTTGAGCTTGTCTCATCCTTATTTGGTAAAGTGGTTCACTAGTTAGTTGTCCACGTTTTGTTTGTTTTTTACAACTTCCTTTGTTCTGCTGTATTTCTCTAGGTTTCTATTATATATATTTCTTCCCTTTCATAAATAATATTTTATATCATATATATATAACTCCATTTCTTGAAATCCTTATTATTTGCATTTTTGCAAATGCTTCATTATCACTATATAAACTGTGCTCTTCTTGTTTTGTAGTCAAACAGATGAACAGCCAATGGTGAACAATTGGAATACTTATAACTGTATATATATATCTATATATTATGTTGATATCTCAGGAAAAAATATTCCTGGTAATATATCCTATAAGTCCATGGTTTGAGTACAATGGAGAGTACAGGCATTTTCTCTTTTGTATGTTGGCTTTTCATTTTTATTACTAATTTTGAAACAAAGCAACATACAAACACATCTTGATTTTTTTGTTTTGAGAAATCATCAGTGAAGATGCACCTAACAACTGCCTGTTTGGTGACTACATATTTTATTATGTAGTGGAACAGTAATACTGAAATTAAGTTGACATAAAATCGTGTAAATCATGATATAAGACACATAGAAACTATACATTCAGTTATACATATAATAAATGAATTACAATCTGAATGTAATAGTAGAATATCTGAAGAAGGATGAAAGTGGAACACGTTTGAAATAATTAACCCCAGGATGATGAGTTACCTACCCTAATTTATAAGTGTAATGATTGGTATTTTTCCTTGATATACTTATCTGATGAAAACACATCACTGTACATGGTTTTAAAGACAACTCTTTCGTTATGTGAATTTAATTTGTAATCAAAAGCTATACCTACTTTTTATGTTAGTGAATTACTGTTTCATTGTGTGTACAAAGAAAAAGAATGTTGTTCTCTGAGATCTGAAGACATGTAACAATATTTCTAGGGTGTCAATAGTGAAAATGAAACATACAGTTGATAATGTCTATTTCACAAAAAAGAAAAAAAAAAGATCAAATCCCAGAAACAGCATTGTGAAGTTTTAACTCCAAATTGATAATGTTGACAGAATGATACATTTATACATGAGAAAATATAAGACTGAAACTCAATGTTTTGGCTTTATTATATAAAGGATTAAACCTTAAGAAAAAGATATGTTTTAAGAATTGGAAAGAATTACTAATATCTGGAGAATAAATAAATATTGAATTAATTATTTAAACTACAAGTTTTTAAAATATTTTACTGCATGAAATTAGGATTTAAAATTTAATTGAACTAGCCAAAGAAGTGAAAAATTGTTTGTCCATTTAAAAACTCAAAGAGATACTGAACACTTCATACAGTTCAAGAATAATTTAAAACCATTAGATGGTGATTTGTTTTTATCACATTCATGTATCAAGAACTCCCAGTACATCTCATTATTTGTTCTTTCTCCCTTGAATTCTTACACAGAAAAGAAGCCTGGTGAGTGTCCATTTACAGACAGCTTTGTGGCAGATGAACCATTAAAGGTATCCAGAAGAGATTGCAAAGATTATTGTAATGATGATGCAGACTGTATCGGGGGTAACAAGTGTTGTTTTAATGGATGTGCCAACATATGTACAGAACCAGCTTTAACAAGTTAGTTTCTTGCTTTCTAAACACAGTAATTATTAAGATATTTCTTTCTTTTTTTTTCCTGATAGTTCATGGTTTAAGATGATTCGTAATGTATTTATTTCAAACATGACAAATAAAGATCATATTTAGCATAATTTAAAGAAGAGTGCAGAATAGTATTTCCACTGCTTCTTATCACTTATTATAAGACTGGTAATATTTCAATAACATCTCTTTTTTACCAACCCAATACAAACATTCCTTAAAAATAACTTACCACAAAAAATGATATTTTGAAATTATGATCAATATTATTTTAATGTTATTATACATTCTTCACACATGAAACCCATAGTGGGCCTGTAGAAAACAATGTGTTTAAAATTATTTTAAATCTTAAAGTGATGTAATATCACAGCTATTACTAATTAAGGAGTCATGTTTTATCAGTTGTAGCATTATACACCATATAATTTGTGTAAAAACACTGGCCAGAGTAAGTTTTCTTTGACTTATTCATAATATTTCATCCACATTTAAAAGTACTGTAACTGTCAAAGTTCTAAGTGCACTTTATTACATCAACAAACAATCTATACAAGATTCAGGGGAATTAAAACACTGATTTTGGCCCTTAAAAGAAAGTATGTAAGAAACATTTAAGATTTGTACTTTTCTTATGTTTTTCAAGAATATTCAAAGGCAAATGGATTTTATTCTTTACATCATAGTATATTTTTTCCATATTAAAATTTGTTTTAACACAGTGTGATAATCTCTGGGGTAAAGCTAGTATATAGTTACCTGATCTCTGCAACAACAGTGATTCTTTACTAGTGGAATGAAAGAGATGAGACATGATGCTGAAATCAAAGTAAAAATAAAACTATTTTATTAAGAACAATTGGAAGAAAAGCTGATAAACTAATGGCAAATTTCGCATTGTAGTGTGATTATTTCAAAGTGTAGTAAATAGATAACAGTATTAAACTGATAAGTAAACAAAAAAGTTGTGTTTAAGTGAAAGCAAATAAAATTAAACTTCATTTTAGAATTAGCTAGAAATAAAATATGCATAACTAGCAAAATGTACAAAATAGGAAGTAAAGACAAGAATTCACAAACAAGTCTTGACTCCATCTGGACAGAGATTAATCTGTTCACTTTGAAAACAGAAAAAAATCTTGCCTAAAACTGCCAAAACTAAATTCATAACTCACCTTCTCTCTGTAGCTGACCAGTAAAGAAACTGGATCATAAGAATCTGGAAACATCTTAACTCCATGTAATAGTTACAAAGCTGTGCTTTATATGCAAAGTAAACATTGCATGATGAAATACAACTATTTCATCAAACAGTAAATAGTTTCTGTGATCCGATATCAGTACAGAAGGTAACAGATTTTGCTGAATTTAGCAAATGATCTCAACTGGATGTGGAATTGATTCAAATTAGAATTTAGACAATTTTTTTTTAATTTTGTAGATATGAAATATACACTAATGGTGTGTTTTAGTTTGTTTGAAACTTTTTGTGAAGCTGTGTGAGAGTTATCTGCACTAGCTGTCCCTAATTTAGCAGGGATAGACTAGAGGGAGAGCATCTAGTGATTGCCACCCACAGCCAACTCTTGGGGTTACACTAATAGAAAATGAGATATGGAGTATTTGCAGAGAATAAATTTAATCTTAAAGTTTTTAATTGCTTGTTATGTAAAACAATAGGATTGATGTAATTTCAAGATGCTCCTAATGAAGAAATAAGAGTTCTTAAAAACTCTTGCTCTGTAAAATATTGAAACTAGCTTTGTAATATATAATCATTTCTCTCCTGAGAAAGAGATATTTAATTAGTGATCCAAAATTTGCTTGTTAAAAAATTATTTTATTTTATTTTAGCAACACCGATTCCAACAACAACAGAATTAGTACCTCAAGAGATAACTGTGAAATCAGAATCGCAGGTGATTTTAAATTGTTTAGATCAAGATGTAGCAGTCATTGCAGCACAGTGGAAAAAGGATGAACTGCCAGTGAACTTAATAACTGAAAGATTCCGGCTTCTCTCAAATGGATCTCTGCAAATCAACTCAGTAAAGATTGAGGATGCAGGGCTGTATAAATGTGAATCAGATAAGGAAATGGACATTCACTTATATCACTCAATCAATTTGATTGTTCAAGGTTAAGAGACTTTAAGTTACCTAATTTAAGTTCATAATTAAGACTATTTATTATTTTTAATCATTATTGTAGAATTTTAGCAGCTCTTCTGGGAGAAGTTAACACATAGCTCATGTTTTCTTAGATTATTTGATTATAATTTGTACAGCTTTACTGTATCTCACTGTAGTATAAACCATGGGCATCCACAGAAATTTTTCCAGGAGGAGGCAAAGTTGTTGTTTTTTTTTGGGGGGGGGGATGATGTGAAATTGTGAAATTAATAGTAAATTCATATACATATACTGAATGAATAAAGAAAGAATTATGTTTCTCATTTTCTGGGGGAATACCTCCCACCCATCCTGGACGTCAATGAGATATGTTATATTTATGAAGGTTAACATTTGTACATGATTTGATCTTGTAACATACCTATTTGATGCTGGTTGAAAATTTTTACTGTTAATTTTCCAAAAATCTTACTTGGGAAAACATTTGAAAGATATCTGTTAATTTTATATACAGCAATACATTTTGGTAATGGTTTCACACAATCTGGGATTTGCATAGTTGATATTAGAAAAATGCAACTTCAATCAAAGACACCCAATCACTGAGATCTGTAGAAGTTACTTGCTAATATTTGCATGCATTACATACATCTACATGATTTGTGTAGCTGCACCAATATACATTCTGGAATTTAGAATCATGATAAAACATATAAAGTGGTGTACTAAAGCTTAATGGTGTGAATCCATATAATTTCTGAGAGTCTGATTTATTTCTGACAAATTAAAGTATGTGGGGGGCAATTGCCCCCAAGCCCCTCTAAGTATTTTATGTTACTTTGTTGAACTGATACTGTAGTGGATACAGATAGTACTTTTAATGTTACTGTGTTGAACTGGTACTGTGGTAAGTAAAGATAGTACTCTCACTTGATGTTATTGTGTTGAGCTGGTACCGTAGTAGTTACAGATAGTGCTTTCTTTTGATGTTACTGTGTTGAACTGGTACTGTAGTAGGTAAAGATAGTTCTTTTAATGTTACTGTGTTGAGCTGGTACTGTAGTAGGTAAAGCTAGTACTTTCTTTTGATGTTACTGTGTTGAGCTGATACTTAAGTAAGTAAAGATAGTACTTTCTTTTGATGTTATTGTGTTGAGCTGGTACTGTAGTAGATAAAGATAGTACTGTCTTTTAATATTATTGTGTTGAGCTGATACTTAAGTAAGTAAAGATAGTACTTTCTTTTGATGTTATTGTGTTGAGTTGGTACTGTAGTAGATAAAGATAGTACTGTCTTTTAATGTTACTATGTTGAGATGATACTCTAGTAATTACAGATATTACTTTCTTTTAATAGTACTTTGTTGAACTGATACTCTAGTAGGTACAGATAGTACTTTATTTTAATGTTACTATGTTGAGCTGATGCTAAAAGGATAAAAGTTACAGAAAGGCATCCTTACATTTTTTATGGTAACTCATAAAAATTTTTAGATCTAATTTTCTCATTTTGTTCTTATACAGTAGTGAAAAAAAGAAAACATTTAGCTGTTGTTAGCTTCAGGATTACTTGACACTCACACATCTAATAACTCGATTTCATTGTGGCCAGTGCTCATGCATAGCATATGACAGGTGTGGTCTTGTATATTGAAAGACACAGTAAGAGTTGATTATATCATTGTGTGTGCATAAATTGATTGTTTTTTTCAAAACTGTGAGAGAACTTGCTCCTAGTATTAATAACATACATCCAATGGTGATTAGATATAGAAGCATCATTTTGTGTATATTAACAACAGTTATATATATGGGTTGTTAACAAGAGTAAGATGTGCCTCCCAGTCTTTTTATCCTCAAAAATAAGTAGCGAGTGAAATTTATCTTGTACACAATGGGTTATCTGTGCTCTGCCCATCACGGGTATTTAAATCCAGTTTCTAGCATTATAAGTCCACAATCATACCACTGTGCTAATGGGGGGCTTTTTGATAATGTGTTAACCTGTTGTGTATAAAACTTTTAAATAGATATAACTAAAACAAATTTTTATTAGTAAAAATACACAATTAGGGAATTAATGTACTGATAATATAAAAGTATGATTCTATTACTTAGAAGATTGGGTTAATGATGAAATAGTTATATATAGATAGATTGTAATTGAAAAATTTGAGATTCTTTGCATTAGCAACCTTGAGGTTCAATAATGAAATAGTTATATATAGATATCTATGGTTCTGTTTCTTCAATTTTTTTCTTGATTCAGTTGTTTTGATAAAGATAAGTGATTGTTGGAATGATTTCAAACACTAAATCCAGTGCATCTTTTCTTGAAGAAGAGACTAAGCAAAAGAAGATAATAGTTTGAGAAATAAACAAAGAACATTAATATTTGACAAATATTGAACATTCCTAACGGTGTTTCTCATCTCTGCAAATGTAAAACGAAATCAAAGATGGACAAAACTTTCAAAAAAAACAAGGCTGAAAATATGAAAATTTTGAAAATAAAATTCTCTTTTTGAAAAGTCCATATCAAATGCATAATTTCCCTTGAAGAAAATGAAAACCTTCAGTTTTTTTCTACGCTTGTAATGATATCAAGCTGAATTAGAGTTACTGGTTTCTTCATGTCATTATGACAGATATTTTTTTAAGAATGGGATATACCAGTATTTTAAGATTTGATATTACCATTGAAGAACAGCCTCTAATATTTGGTGCTTTTTGTGACCAATTTTTTAACTTTTCTAACAAATAAGATTATTTTGTTTCTTTCTAATTTATATTTTAGAGTTTGTTAACATTTTGAAAAAAGTTCTATAAATTCAAATGAAGTTAAGTTAGTTAGACTTATTCAAGGTAATTTTCATTTTATTTCACAGAACGCCTTGATATTATGGCGAGTATTGCTTCAAGAGAGTATAAAACAGGTTCAGTTCTTCAACTGGATTGCAAAGTAAAAGGCCCAAAAGACACATATGTTAGGTGGAACTTTGGTCCTTCTCCAATACAGAATAGTGAGCGGTTACAAGCCCTCAGTAACTACACCTTGATTATACAAAGCACTCAACACAATGACAGTGGTATCTATAGCTGCATCGCAACTAGCAAACACAGTGAAGCTTCCAGTTCTGTCTCAATCACCATTGAAGGTACTAACATTGAAGTTGATATTTTTCACTAATAGTACTTTTTTTTGTAGCAGGTGTATTGAAATGAGGCAGATGTAGGATTATGATGTGACTTATTATGGCACAGTTACTTATATGTATTCTTACGTATTTCATATATATTAGGTCGTCAAGAAATTAATGTCGCTCTTTTTACATGAAAAAACCTGAACAACTTATTTATCAAAACAAACATTTATTAAATGAAATAGTCTCCATTCT